CTACAATGTGCTGCTACTTATCATCTAGCACGACCTTCTTCACACCTTCTGACAATCATTGATCCATTCAAAATACCATACAATAAAGTCGTTAGTTGGTCTGCTTTAGGCTACGTCTTACTCGGCTTTAGTATCACATCCTCTTCTTATGGACTGCGGGAATCTCAATGTTTTCTTGGTCAAGCTAGATGGAATAATTGGATCATCAATTCTTCTGGTCACTTTTGCTTTTTCAAACTCTTTCAATTACGTTTAGTGGCACCGATCTTATTATCAAGTCGAACCACTCAGTTAGATTCCATCATTCCATTCTTACCAATCTCTTTAGTTTTATCAAACTTGGCACCTTCTGGATACAATTCATGTATTCATGATGTATGGACATCTGTTTCATTTTCTTTTGATTGATATGTAAATAATCTTTTGTTCTTGTTGCTTTATCCGAGGCTTGTTTTGCCTACTAAACAGGGGGACTGCGGCGCGCTGCACCCCATTTGAGCGCGCTGCTGTCTCAGGGAATTTTTTTCAAACAGCGGTAGCGCTGCGGTGAGGCTACGTAGCCACTGCAATAAAGCCCAGCGCTGTCTCAACTAAAAATCTGATTCCTGCAGGTTCTTCACCTTTACCCGAGTTCAACCTTGATATTCCCATGGAAGCACCTGAAGTTGAAGCTGAGCCTTTGAAAAATGAAGATCCGGTGGTTTCAGGAGTAAATTGTCCATCAAATTCTGAGAATCATCCAACAGAGAATCGTGAGTCATGAATTGTTTCTCAAATCTCTTGTTCGTTCAACTCTAACAAACAATCTGACCCTTGCAGGTTCTTCACCTGTACCCGAGTTCAACCTCGAGATTGCCATGGAAGCACCTGAAGTCAAAGCTGAGCCTTTGAAAATTGAAGATGAGACGGTTTCAGGAGAAAATTGTGTGTTGAGAGCTGCAGAGGATGTGTTACCCACCAACCTTGAACAGCCTGTCAATGATATCGAGCTCCGTCAATACTTCCACTTTCCAAACAAAGTAAGGCTCCAAAAACTCAAACTCGCAAATGCAAGATCTCCAAGGCCAAAGAGAATCCGGCACCAAATCTTTGCACACGGAAAGCCAAAACAAAAGAACCCATTCAAAACATTTGCAAATGCAAACCCACAACAAACCCTGATTTGCCGCAATTGCCAAAGGGTTATGGATACATCAAAGTCCCAGAGGAGGTAGAAAGTGTAGAACAACAAAATTTCTCAGTTCCTACCAAGGAGAAATCCCAGGCTGTTGGACGAGGCCGAAAGCGCAAAGATTGTGGTCCCATTCCTCCCCCAAAAGTCTCTACGTGTTGCCAAGTAGCAGCTGCTGCCAAAGAAGAAGTAGGTCTCTCTCCAATTCATCCCATACAAAAGAAACGCTGATGGAACTCTCAATTTGTAGCTAAGATCAGAATTGGAAACACCAAGTGAGACAGCAGCCAAACCCGAAGTTC